TGGGACCCCCTCGACTCTATGAAAGGATTGCTCTGAGTGCCAACTCATCTCAGCAATAAAGGGACAAATGGCTCTGAGCCCTGCTTGTGTCAGCTCACTATTCATTTGGGCCCTGAGTCTAAGGGTCTAAGTTCTGTCTTCTCATCCACTGATCGATAAGTTGGCAGCTCTCTTTGGCTAAAGTACTCAATTTAGGAAGATGGACTGGTTCTCTTTCATGTATTATTCAAAAGAATGGGCTTGAATTCAATTCCATCCCTATCCTATCTCAGATAGAATTAATCACTCCTTCCTTCAGAATAACTATTCAAACTTATACATAGCTCTATTACTGTGCTGATCCCACTGTACACTACCAGGTTACAAATATTTCTTCACATGAATGAATTTTAAATTATTTGACTTTTTCCACCACCATAAATATAAATTCCTAGTGCTTTATAAGACAGTAATATGAATTACCCATATATTTGGTCCTAACTGTTGGAAACTTCTAGATAAGATAGTACTTTAATCTCAATCAGTCTTGTTAAGGATCATTACCAAAGCTACCAAATATAATTAAATCTTGTCAAAGAAATAAAACAAACCCATATACATGAAGTAATCATTTACAAAAAATCAAAAAGTGACTAACAACTTTCACCCAGCAGATGCATAGGGCTAAAACTGCACTGCTTTTTGAGCGACATGAAATACTCAAGGTTATTCTAACTAAAATCAATCATGGTGTGAATAAGAGAGACGGTCATCGTTGCCCCTACTTAAGCAATGCCTGGTTTAATCAACTTTATTGGGCTTGACACAAAAACATATTAAGCAACTTATATGTGACTGCATTTTAAAATATTTTCAGTATAATTCAATATTGGACAACTTACATATACTAATCAAAATTATCAATATATTCCGACTATTACAAAAAACCACAATATTTGAGCATTCTCCTTCCTTTTAGTTACAATCTCTAATAATGCATTTTAGTCTGACATATATTCTGTTATTTGGTAAAGTCATACTCCCTTTTCTCTTTAATTTCTACAAAAAACTTTAGAAAATGGAATTCATTTTAGACATCTTAGGGATCCTAGGAACTACAAGATAGTATCAGCTAAATATTTCGCTTATTAGTAGTTTTTCACTTCTCATGCTTAAAATTATATACTGAAATAAAATTTTATTGTGGCACAGCAAGTCCTACCTAGATCCCAGGCCCCCCTTCTCTACCACTGGTGAATGCATTCTCCAGCCAGAAAAACGGCTTTGGAAATATATGGAAATAAGGAAAAAAATCTCCTCACTGAGTTTCCCCTGGAAGCCCAGGCAATATCTCATCCTTGGCACAGTCATTATCTCCACACCATGTCGGATAATCTCACTAGGTCATTTAATTGAGCCTAAAAGGAGTTTATTACGGATTCACTATAAAACTAAAAGCCTTTGCAGTTTCCTGGCCCAATTAGAAGGCCTTTTCCATGTCACAATAAGCAGAAAAGATTATGTCATGGAAACCAGATTTAAATAAGCTAGTATTTTTAAATGCTATCCTTACTTATTTTATTTTTTATTAACTCATAACGTTGTACATTGATGCATTTATGGGGGTCCGTGTACTGCTTTGATATACAATGTGAAATGCTTACATTGAACTCAGTAACACATCCGCTATCCGGATTTAATTAGACATTGAAGGTCACATTTAGGAAATTATGTGAATTTGTAGTAATAAGTACGTGTACCCTTTATAATGCTATCTGTTAAGTTTTGCCAACAAGGTAGATGTAGCTCAGTAAAATATGGACCAAAAGTAACTCTTTTTCAATAATCATTCCTCTTGAATCAGTCCTCTTATAGTCAAAGTCTAGGTGCTTGTGTATATTTTTATGGGTGGATATAATGGGCCAAAATATATACCAAAATACATACCAAATTATATACTTTATAATACATATAAAGTACACATTAATATTTTATATAGAATGCATATATAGATACATATGCTTTTATGGAACAAATTTCAAAAACATCTGGGATGTATTTAAAAAGAATACATTTGCCTTTAAATGAAAGTATGAAATGGGATCTTTAAATATGGACCTCATCACCTCATCGTATTTCCCTTTAAATTCATTTTCTTTCATTACGTGGAATGGTATGTAGAACATAGAAAGAATTCCAGAAAAAACTTTAGAAACGTATTCTCCTCTTTACCTCTTCTTCAAAATCAAGTTATCAAATCTGTTCTAAATCTAGTCTTTTTAATTTATTCAAGTTCTCCTTCTATGCTTGGTTTGGTGAGTGAGATAAAATTTTTTTCCCAACTTGGGCTACAGCATGAAGTTCATAAAAAACATGCCTCCCTGTTCTATTCCCTCTTTGTGGTACCATATACCACTTACAAGTGTTTTCAGTGGTAAACAGAAGATTAAATGTAAGTGTTAGATCTCATCAACACTAAACATGGGGGAAGCATGTCTGTGGCTCTTTTCCAGGCGGCAAATTAAAGTATCGCTGGCAGTGTTACTCCAAACAAGCCCTGATGCTTTTATCGACTCCCTCCCCATCTCAAACACAGCCCAGGGTTCAGTCAATACCTGTCATTCCATGGGAGCCACTAACTCCACTGCCGCTGTCATTTGTCCTTATCTAATTACAAATGGGGTCCTGTTCATGAAACTATCTCCTTAACGGAGTATACCCAGGACTGCAACTTTTAAGAGACAGTTTAACCCAACTTCAGCAGTTGTTTAAAATCTCTTCTTGCAGTTGCAATCTCTTATTTGTTTTGTTTGTTACGTTTGCTCATTTGTGTTGTGATGAAGAGAAACTAAAATTTTCGAGCGGATTTAATGCAATATGTTATGTACAAATTTAGAAAAAAACAGATATGGATGGCAAAAGGGTGTCAACTCATTCTTTTTAAAGCATTTTTTAATCTAGCTGATGCACAATTTTTTGTGTCTCGTTTTTCTTTCTTTTTTTTGCCTCCTTCATGATTAGATATTTTTCAGCAGTAATATCTTAGTGCAAAATATTTACACTTTTCCTTATCTACCACAGTAATTATTTTTTAAAACACATATTTTGCTAAATACATACGTATCAGCACATTTTCATAAGTTATGTGAAAATGTTTATCTATGGAAAATTCAAACAACTTTAATGTACCTGCTTTTAGGTATAGTTGGCCAACAGTCCTTTGCACCCTTACCAATAAGATTAAAAGTTCCTGGTCACATACTAATAACTATTCACTTCTGAAAGTGAAAGAATAAAATATATTAGGATGGCAATGTTGAAAAAAATTACTGTGAAATAACTTATACACGAATCTTCTTTTTATCTTGTTCTTTTACACATACACGAAATCTGACAATTAAGTTTGTGAAATCACACTGGAAAAAGTGCTACACACCTCATAACTGAAAATCACTACTGTCACTTTCAAAGTATTCCCTTGGGAAGCTATGCACCAACGCCAGTGACTTGCCCATACTTCAAAGCAATTTTGGAAGTCTTTTGCTGGAATGTCTATAGGAAATGCCATCATTTGAGATTTGACAACTATGTTCACAAACTTGCCACTGTGCACTTACGTTGGTAGCACTGTACAAACAACTTGGTAAGGTTTCATAACCTTGGTATATCAATGTCATGAGTGTTCATGTCAACATGTGGTGGTATCTTGCTGAGTGAGGGTCATTATTAATGTTTTGAGATTTTGTGTACCACATAATGATAGCTCTGGAGGACATTTCAGAAAAGGAGTTCCAAAATTGCTTTTGAAGGGTAGACTGGGCACCAGCATTAGTGCATAGCTTCCCAATGGGAACGCTTCGAAGGTGACCATAGTGATATTCAGCAATGAGTTATGTAGCATTTTTTCTAGGATGAATTTGTGACATTATGAAAACTAGTCCATAGTAATCCAATCTCCTGAGAAGTGAATAGTTATTAGCAAGTGACCTGGATTTTTGAAGCTTGTTGGCAAGGGTACAAAAGACTGCTGGCCAACTATACCTAAAGGAAGTTACATTAAAATTATTTGAATTTTCAATATATAAAAAAATGTTCAAAAGGAAGACATTTCATTTGTAGTATTTCTAAGCAGTATTTTATAATTAACAATAATGATAATAATTTAAAAATAAAAGGAATGTATATATTAAGTAGCCACATGTTATGTTATTATGTACCTCAGATATATTAACTACATAATAATGAACTACTTGGGAGCCATTATGAGCTGATGATGAAATTCTCTGCATTCGTATCAATGTTCAGCTGCTTTGAATCAGGGTGATATCTAAACAACAGTAGAAACAGAAAAGAACATTAAGTATTTCTGTTCCAACTCAAATTCAAACTCCATGCTTTGAAAAATAATTAGTTTTCTCTCACTATGTCAAGGCTTCTTATTTTTAAATTATTTCTGAAAAGCACTAAAATGAATAAAAGAAATAACTATGTACTGGGAAGGGTATTTAGAAAATTCTTAACTATAATCATAAGCCAAACATCATATACTGTGTAAATTAGGTTTATAAAAATATCTACATGGAAATATATAGTTATTGAGGAAAACATAAAATTATTTCAAAGAACTAAAATGACACTTATCTAAAGTGCTATTATTAGTGCCCTAAATGAAATTTTCTCTTTTCTGGTTCTCTTGCATCTCAATTATTTTCTTTTTTTCTGAGACAGTATCTCACTTTGTTGCCCTCAATAGAGAGCTGCGGTGTTCCAGCTCACAGCAACCTCCAACTCTTGGGCTTAAGCCATCTTTTGCATCAGACTCCTGAGTAGCTAGGACTACAGGCACCCGTCACAACACCCAACTATTTTTTGTTATAATTCTCATTGCTGTTTCAGCTGGCCGAGGCCAAGTACAAACACACCACCACCACCCTCCATATATGGGGCCGGTGGTGCCCTGCCCACTGAGCCACAGGCACCTCCCTTGCATCTCAATTGTTAAGAAAAGAAGAATGTCTTTTAACCGACTTGAAAAACTGAAATATATTTATAGTGTATATTTATTGGTAAGTGGGTGTTGGAGATCTTAGATCAATGCTTTTTAACATGAGTTGAGGATATCACACTGAAAGGGCACTTTTTCCTTCGAAGAATCAAAATCAACCATCATCAACTTATAGTGCCAAATGGTAAGGCTTTGAGGTGTTCTATCATTGTATCCTTATTCATGCATTGGCAATTCCAGCTCTGCAAGACAAAACTATCAGTGGAGGAGAAAGATAAATATGAAGCATATCCACAGAAAGCATATGTAGCAGATTGCCCTTTCCCCTGCTGTTTCCATCTATCCTACCTCTACAGTGGCCCCACCTCAATTGTTCTACCCCTTTATCTTCTTTTATGTTGTCGGTACTCTGATATTAAATTGTATGTTGTTTATAGGTTTATCTCCTAGCTCTTTCACATTGAAGCTCTTTAAAGACAGGTCTTTGTCTCTATTTTATACTTTTCTATCTTTGAACCTCAAGACTCAGTTGAACATAGTTTCAAAATATAGTTGAAACTCAGTGAATATTAGCTAAATACATGGATTAGAAGATATTTAAGGAGCCAAAGCAGTTTGGAGCAGTAAATACCTTTCTTTAGCACAAATACAGATAGATAGATAGATAGATAGATATAAATAGACATATAGATGTGTGTGTGCGTGTGTGTGTGTGTGTGTGTGTGTGTGTGTATTTATGAATGGAAGAGAGACTTGTCTTTATTCACTGGAAAGGATGAAGGGGAAAAATATACTTAACAATTCACTTAGGGTCTTTGTAGGGCATATGGTATTTATCTCTTCTTTCTTATTAGCTAAAAAATCTCATTTTCAACTTGTGTATTTAACTAGAAATTAGAAAGCTAGACTTTAAACTACAGATGGCCTTCCTTACCTATGGGCTCTGCATTATGGACTCAGCCAACTCTACACTGAAATATTAGGGAAAATATAAAAATAGGAATACAATAATGAAAGGAAATACAAATAAAAACATACAACAACTACTTACCTTAAATTTATAGTGTATTAGATATTCTAAGCAATCTAGCAATGATTTAAAGGACATGGGAGGGGATGCATAGCTTACATGCAAATATTTGAGCATCCATGGACTTTGGAATATGCCAGCGGTCCTGGAACCAATCTATAGGTACCAAGGGATGACTGTGTTGCCAACAATAAAGTAATATGAAAGAATCAAATATCAGTGGGTATTTGAAGCAGATACTTTCTCAAAACCAAATGACAGGAATAAGAGCATGTTTCCTACATGTCCATTTAGATAAGAAAAATATATTCAAAGATATTACACTTGAAATTTTGTTAAAATGCATAACTAAAAATATTTTTAGTATTTCATATGTTAAAATTCTAAACAATGAGATATGCCCAGAGTTGCGGTTCAAAGTAGAGGTTTAAAAATAACCAGAGGTTACAATTAAAGCTTTAAATGTCTCTTTGTTCCACTTTTGTGTATTTTTCATATTTTTTAGCCCAAAACTTAACAAATTCACAAAAGAATTGCCTACAGATGCCTTAAGAAAAACTTAAAGATATGCTTTGTAAATAAATACTCTATCACTTCTATTATTTTTGTTCTACTCATGAAGCCTGTCGAGTGTGGGCTTCAGTTTCTTGGCTTTGGTCACTCTTAGTCTTGAACATGAAAGTTCTATATAATAAAATTAAACAAGATGTGATTAAAATAAGAGGTTGCATACTTCTAGACTAAAGTTTATTGTGTTCCATGGAGCAAACCAGGGACATATTCTGAAAAAAATATATATAATTCTTTATTTTACCTAATCTAAACAAAAAGAATTTTTTTTTATGTTTAAGTACATGAGGACCTACTAAGATCCTCATGTTTTGGCAGCAGAGATAAATATGAATAAATTCATACTATGAAAAAAAGTGCATTGTGAACTCCCTTTTGCTTAAAAGCATTGTTCTTATATACAAGCCCTGAGGTTATAGGACAATCTATCCAGGCAAACATAATATACATATTTTTTATGGGGCATTTTACTGCTTCATTCATATTTAGGCCATTACTCAATTTTTATCATTGTTCAATGGTCTCAGTAATAATGACCAACAGAGAGTGTTCTTTAGAGATTTCGCATGAAGTGAACACCTTTTTCTCAATTAGCTCTGGAGTAAACAGTTGACAACTTCCTTCCTTCCTTTTTTTTTTTTGAGACAGAGCCTCAAGCTATCCCCCTGGGTAGAGTGCCATGGTATCACAGCTCACAGCAACCTCCAACTC